TGGGGCTGAAATCGAAATAAGTCAACCTAAAACTCCTTTGTACCGCTACGAAGAAGCCTCCCGATGACTTATACCAGTTAGAAAATCGTTTTATGTAATTTTACCTTAAGACTTGACTATGAAATGGTTGAGTTTTGCTTCGATCGATAATTTCGGGGCTTGTTTTTCATAATATTTTTTCAAAACAAATAGTTTATTGAACTGACCTTAATTTTATTGTGAAAATTGTCGGCGTTTTCTTTTAGTTCAGACAATTATTGTCCAAAAGACTTCCAAAGACTGATCTAAAAAGAAACGCCTTAAATAAAGGTTTTAAAATCTCTATTTTTATTTGATTAGGTTTAAGATGTGCTAAATAAATAAAACTCGTCTTCCTAAGATATGGAAAATATAACGGTTTTTACGAGACAAGTAAGGCAAAAAAATAAAAAATTAATCATTATTTTTGTAAAACATGCCAGTCGTCATACGTAAATATTTTAGATATGACAACAAATTTTATTTGAAAAAATGACAAGGTCGTGTGATGTTGTCGGACACATAAACCGTTTTTAGCTGTAACAAGTTTCATTTAAGTATGAACTGTCCGATAAGCAAAAGGCCAGACCATCTTCCTTTAATCTTCTGACGTTTACTAAATTCAAGTTGTCATATTTTATATTAATAATATGGCAATAACTGCAAAATTTATTTAAATAAAAAAATGGATAACGCAAATCGTTTATTTTATATTGACGAACAGAATTATAAATTTATTTCACAAAATTAATTACGAATTCCTTTGTTTATTATTTATAAACAAAAATGATGATTCCATTGTGAAAAAATGCAGCGACTACCAGTTACTTTTACAAAAAGCTTGCCATATCTCTGTAAAAAAATGCATATACTTTAAAGGAAAGATGTAATAATGAGAACCCTATAATGTGAACTTTATTCTTCACTTTTCCTAAAGTAAGGGATAATAAAAGTGGACTATATGGTTAAGATATAAGAACGAGCCATAAAGCGCTTATTTAGCTGGCTTAAGTCATCAGCTGGTTTCTTTGTAGAGGAACAAAGAAATTTTAGGTTGACTTAGATCGATTTTGGACCTAGGCTCCTTTGTTCATTTCCGAGGAAGCCAGTCACCTTAAGTCTACCAGTAATTAGAGGTATCTGCTGGGTTAAGCTCCTTTATAAGGATTGATTTGATGTTTATGTAATGGAATCGGCACTTTAAATCCACTGGACTTAAATATTTCCTCATACAAATTATAAAGAAATTTTTTGATATATGAAACTTTTACATTCCTTTTATCCTTATAATTAAATTAATAGCCAAAATTTGTGGTACCATTAAAATCCTCCTTTTTGTATCACTTACCCTTTAATTTAAAAACACTATGCAAACACAAATTATAAATTTTCTTAATATTTTTTGTCTTTGCCGGAAATGGTCAAGCTACCGTTATTTGAATGTTTATCACTGGTCGTTCTATTTTAAACTAAAACAAAAGCACAACATTCAAATTACGCTCCACAAATGAAATCAACAACAAAAATTGTGTCTTAACACGTTGTCTTACCCTCAATTTCATTTTTTGGTGGGGGGTTTCTCCAAAACTCACACATACACGCCCATCGTTATGTGCATTCTCTCTGCTAATGTGTGAGTTTTCCATCGTCGCTGTTTATTAGATTCAGTAATAATAGAATTGTGTTTTGTTTAACACTTTAGAATTATTAGAGTGAGTGCGGAAAATGGAAAGAAAATTTTCTGCAAAGAAGCAACGAAAATGATTTGGGTTAAAACAGAATGAGTTCTTACCTCGAGCCTTTGTTCAGTTTATATTAACTTTGATGTTGGACGCGCAAGACCTTCTATATCAATAATATTTGACCATTCAAATGAATTCTTCGCTAATACGTTAAAACACCAAAGGTGCAAATACATAAAAAGCTTGAAGTCATGGCTAGGCATATTATTGTCAAATTATGATGGAAAACGAGGGCAGGATTTTAGTGCGGTTCTGTAATCCCTTTATGAAATGTCACAAAATATGCCTAGCCATGACTTCAAGCTTTTTATGTACTTGCACCTTAACAAACATCAGCTGAGCGGCATTCATATTCCTGTAAGGGCATGTGTAAACACAAAAGATTAAACTATTGGAAGCTTTAACAAACTACATCATCCAAATTGTCAATTTCATTCAATCATTAAATCTACATGTGTCAAATAAATCCCTTTTGTCATTTTTATGGGAAGCATGGTAGAATTAAGAAGGTAAAATCACGCAATCATATCTTTCCAATTTTTTCAAAATATTTCATTTGACTACATTTCATTGTCAAAATCATGATAAAATAAGACTAAACATCTCTGCATTTACTGTACATAAAAACAGGTTTCCATCTCTGATTTTTGTGTATACAATGGATTTATAAATAAACAATTAGATGTTGTCAAATGAATAATTTTGAAATAAAAAATTGTAAACATATGATTGCATGACTTTACCTTCTTCATACTACCATGATAAAAGTATTTTTTTATAAATCCATTGCATATTCACAATTCAGAGATGGGAACCTGTTTTCTACAAAGTGTAATTTGACATTTGACAATTTCAAATGACTTTACCTTCTTTATTTTACCATGAGGGGAAGTAAGAGAATTATTTTATTTTCATTACAAGAAAATCTAAATTTTATGATTGCAAAAAAAACATGCCTCACCTTTTATAAATAGTAAATTACTTTCCCTCCATTTCTAAACACGTGTTCGTGTGACAGCGGCTGCATTTCGAAAATACACACATATATAATTCTATATACACTCCCACCCACATACATAACTATACACATGTGGATGCATAATAGAGAACAAAATTAACGGTTTTGTGAGACAACACATTGATGTTTATGTATTATTTGGTCACAAACCTGCATAGGATTTATGTTTTAACTACCCCTCCTACTTTTCTCCCGCACACCTTGACATTGAAGTCATGGCCAGTGTAACGGCAGTTTATTATTAGGTTTTATTTATTAACCCCCCATCCATCCATTGGCAATGTCATTAACATGTCATATTGTGTGAATATTGTTGTCTTCCTCGTTTAATTAAATAATCAATAATCGTAAGACGAGAAAGAAGAAACAACAAAATAGCAAAACATCCGTTTTTTATGCAATAGAAAATAGTTTAAAAAGAATGTGACAATAATCACACGATATTGCAAAGAAATGGTCAAACATCACATGGTGCCCAAACATTGAGGAAAAACATCAAAAACAACTACCTACCACCTATTAAAGGGTTGGAGGAAAAAAATTGTAAAACTATTCGAGGTCAATTTAAAAAGAGTCCAATCAGATTTAGCGCGAAATCAACACACTAGCGGAATGCAATATTGTTTTTGATTCGAAACATTCCGGAGCCGTAAGTATACTATCGAAGCCGTTATATACACATAAATTCCGAACAACAACAAAAAACTTCTTGCTATGAAATTGGAACATGCTTCATTTTCCTTACAGATGCCCATCAAAATGAATTCAAACTCATTTTCAACATCAATTGAATGGTAGAAGAATATAGGTAGACGCATCGACGCAGCTGCTGGGACAATGAACTGTCAAACCTTTTTTTGAATTGAAAATGTTGAAAGAAAAATTATTTAAATTTGTAAAAATTGTCGAAAAACGCGAATTATAATAACCTCGGAATGACGTCGTATAAGAAAATATATAAAAATCTATTTATTTTGAAGAAACATTTTTGATATACCAATGTTCCCAAACTTTGATGCATCTACCTGTATTCTTCTACCATGGTAGAAGCAGCGACACAGCTGCTGGGACAATGAACTGTAAAACCAATTTTGGAATTTAAAATGTTGAATGGAAAAATATTTAAATTTGTAAAAATTGTTGAAAAACACAAATTATAATAACCTCCGAATCACATCGTATAAGTAAACATATAAAAATCTACTTACATTTGAACAAAACATTTAATATTCTTTGACATTGATATGTCAAGCTCTGATGCATCTATTTGTATTCTTCTACCGTGATCAATTGTCTCCATATTAATTTTTTTGTCTTTAGATATTCTTAGAATTTTGGTGATTTATAATCAACCATTGTACTCAAACTCGGCACCGAATTTGCGTGTCTGACTAAAAGCCAGATTTTTACTTCATATTTAATTAAATTAATTTTATAAATTTTTCTAAATAATAAATGCAAACTGAATGGGGTTAGAAGTCGAACTTAGAAAATATCATAATCAATTGGCAATTATGCAATACATTTTCGTCCTACCATGGAATCTCTCTCAATTTGTTGTTGTTATTAACGATGTGAATAATGTACAAAGCATGGCAGAAGAATACAGGAAGATGCATCAACGCTTAGGAGCATTGATATGTCAAAAAAATGTAAATGTTTTTTTTTCAAATATAAGTAGATTTTTATATGTTTTCTTATATTACGTCATTCGGAGGCTATTATAATTCGCGTTTTTCAACAATTTTAACAAATTTAAATCAATTTTTATTCAACATTTTCAATTTCAAAATATGTTTAACAGTTCATTGTACCAGCAGCTGTGTCGACGCGTCTACCTATATTCTTCTACCTTGGTACAAAGATTACATAGTCTAAAGTACCCTTAACAACAGTTTATGTGCGATAGGTCACGTTTGCATCCCCGTTCACTTTTAGTCAAAAGTCGATCTACGTGTCCCTACCACAAATTGTATTGTTGCAGCCGCCGTATTTACCAACGGCCGGCGTCGTTTTGCCAAAGAGAAAAAAAATATTTTTAAAAGAAAATAATATTAAAAAAACACATTTTATTGTTTACATACAACATATATTAAAAGGTATCGCGTTATTTTTTCTTTGGCCATTTTTAGCAGGTTGGAGCCCCAGTTTTGGCGGCTAAATGCCAAAACCCAGAGTGGCCGCCACACTCAACGCCGATCCACAACGAATCGCTTTTACCTCTGAACCAGAGTAGTTGAAGTGTGTTTTCAATCCGAAAATGACAAATTAAAGGTTCGGTTGTGTTTTTGGCTTTGTTTTCTTTTCATTTGGAATCAATCTTAATAAATTGGTGCACTAATTGGGTAATTTGAGGAAAAAATTAATTCATTAAACTGCAAACTTGTGGCATAACAGCGGTGTTTGGTGCAGGACTTTTTGAGGGGAAACTAAAGTACATTTTTTAGGAGATTTGATTACGAAACTTCTAGAGCAGAAGAAAATTCAATAACATTTCGGTAAGTGGTATTGAAAAAGCAAATATTCATTTTCACTTTCGTTGCATGTAAGGAGGCACGGCAGCGAATGCAATGCAATTTCAAGATGTATGTAATAGAATATCAGCTGTCCAGAGGGGGCGGTGTTGGGCCAAATTGTCGAATGTTTTTAATTTTGTTGCCCCACTGCCATCCTTTCCCCCTACTTGAGGCATAAACAACGTGACTATACGCTGGTTTTGGTTTACTATTTGTTTTGCTTTCTGTTGTTGCTACCCCTTTATTTAATTAACAAATAGAACAACATTGATGTTGTTGCAGCTCGCACGCCACATCTATTAATATGATGTACTCTTCATTTTTATGGTTCAGGGTTATGCGTAGACGAGAAGAAGAAGGTGATAGGCTGCAGGTGCATGAAACGAGAAATGTAGTCGAAAATATCAATACCTCGCAATGAAAGACTAATATGCCGGTCTTGGCCGGTGTATTGTTTGTATCTAATACCCATAAACGTATTGATAAGATAATCTTCTTGCATATACATATGTATTGCTACTATGACAATACATATTTTTTTAATCATTTCTATTGACGTATTTAATAATGTGATAAAAAAAATTCTGATTTCTTGTTAGCCCCTTTGCCCGGTGAACATATTTCTGATTTTAGTTGTTACGCACGGAAGACATCGAAGAAGGAAGTAATTGATTGCATTCCGTATTAAAAGACAAAGAAAACCAAGCATCATTATGGCCTCACATTATCGTACAGAAACTGTGTTCGACTACAGTTGGAAACAGGTTGTACAAGCTTATTGGAATCGTTATCCAAATCCTGCAAGGTAAGTTTATGCATTAGGCATAGAATAATTATTGTTTCGTTATTACGTCTTACTTTTTTTTTTTTTTTTTTTGATAAAAGTTCTTGGTCATAACTCCAAACAAAGAAATTTGTTGGTATTAAGTTTTAACAGATTAGTGTATATTATATACAACTTCCACAATAACAATAAAAAAGCGAGTGAGATGTATAAAAAAGTGGGTCAACGTTGAAGAAAGCAAAAGGAATAATAATACATTTGGTCACTATAGAAAGAGAGGGATACAAGAGGTGTCAATTTTTACTTAAAATAAATTCAAGAAATATATATCCAACACCACTTCAAACAAATATTTTTGTTGTATTGTTTCAATTCATCTACTCAAGAGGGAGACCGAGACGTTAAGTGATTTCATGATCAGTTTAATTTAGAATATCTCCTTAATCACATTTATACGTTCAATATCGTTGTCCGTAAAAACAATTAAATGCAGTTCTAGAAACAATCACTAAGGAGATTAAGCCCAAATCGATTCCGATTTCATTTCAATGTGACAAATAAAATATATCCTCGAAATGGTTGTGTAGGACATATTATTTTTATTGCTCTTTTTTTTGTATTACTTTGTAACCCAAATAATATTAACCACCTATTTTTATTTCATTCCAGCCACCATGTTCTAACTGAAGACACAATTTCTCGAGAAATACGCGATGGCAAACTTTACTCACGGCGCATATTATCGAAAACAAATAGTGTACCCAAATGGGGAGAACGTTTCTATAAAAATACCCCCGTCAAAATTATTGAAGATTCCGTCCTTGATCCCAAATCGAAAACTCTGATAACATTTACACGTAATATTGGCTTTAAGAAGATAATGGTAAGTATATGTTATATATGTACATAGAATTAGTGGCCATTTAAGGTTGTTGATTCAATGCGTGCGTGTGTGTGTTCTTGTGGACTTTGGACGCACAACAAGCCAAACTACTTAAATATATATACAAACCCGTTCATGTTCAGTTTGTTTGTTTATCATTAGCACAAAGAACAATGCAACCACAACAAAATTGGCAATATTGAGCAAAAACTAGCACAACTGGTTATTGTGACGATGTGATTTTTAATAACAAATCAATTTATCTCTTTTTATACCCTCCACCATAGTATGGAGGGTATATTTAATTTGTCATTCCTTTTGTCTCGAAATATACATTTTAAACCAAACCAAGTATATTTTAGATCAGCATAAAATCCTATGTCGATTTACCGATGTCCGTCCGTCTGTGGAAATCACTCTAGCTTCCGAACAAAATGAAGTAGGTTGATAAAATTTTACTCAAATGTATATTGTGCCTGAAGGACTTGTGGTATTGAGAATGGGCCATGTAGGTCCCCGTTTTGGTACAGCCTCCATATAATGATACCTCCCTATTTCCCGTATTTCGGTGATTTTAGCGATATTATTCACCGGAAATGTTTCAAATTTGGTATTTGTAGTTCGCAATGGAGACTACAGCCTATGACAGAAAATTGTCCGTGCAGATCCACTTCTTCATATAGCCCCCATATAACGACACCTCCCGATATTCGGTATTTTGAAGATTTTAGCGACATTATTCACCAGAATTGTTTCAAATATGGTATTTGAAGTTCGTAATGGATACTATAGCCTACGACAGAAAATTGTCTGTGCAGGTCCACGTCTTTGTACAGCTCCCATATAATAGTACCTCCCTATTTTCGGTATTTTGGTGATTTAAACGACATTATTCACCGGATTTGTTTCAAATTTAGTATTTGAAATTCGTAATGGATACTACAGCCTAAGGCAGAAAATGGTTTGTCTTCGTATAGCCCTTTTTTTATTATTATTTTTTTTTTTTTTTTGTGAAAATGGCCAAATTCGTTTCAAATGGTGGAGGGTATTCAAAGTTCGGACCGGCTGAACTTGCAATATCGAATTACTTTTTTATTTAAAATGTTTTGTTAACAAAGAGAAGATTTTCACATTAAAATATTTTCAAAAAAATAATTTACTTAAGTGTCTAGAAAACAGAATTAGAGCTTAAAAGGGAAAGATCCAAATTTAATTATTATTTTTCTCTACTATTCTATTTTCAGAAAGTCGATGAGATCGTTGAATATTCCGAACAAAAAGATGGTCGCACATTAGCAGTACGGAGAGCATATATTAGTTCACAAGTATTTGGATTTTCTCGAGCCATTAGAGCATTCGGTATTGAACGTTTTAAATCGAATTGTCATAAAGCTGCCAACGGATTTAACTTCGTTCTACAGCGAATGTTTCCAAACCATCAACACCATGCTGCAATGACAAACAACAATACCATGGAATCATCAAAGAATGTAGATCATCATCATCATGCTAGCACAGTTGCCACACTACAACAACAGCAAAGTAAAACTGAAGCCATAAAGAAAGGCGTTTCGAACAGTTTCGAATTCTTTAAGGGTCAAGCGAGTAAAATTGCCCAAATGTTTTCGGTCAAAAATTGATGATCTTAACAACACATCAATATAAGATCTATTTTTTTTATGCAAATGATCAGTCATGGGAAGGTGCGCCTGCGCTGTCATAGCGGAATGAGTATTGTTTAATACTAAATGCCGGTTCATTTGGATTCAAATAGCACCTTCAACTTTCAACTGGATCTTCGTCATATTTGTATGAATAGTATTAATCTTAAGTAGCTTTGAGGGATCTCTAGCGTTTGGGGATTTGTTAAAATGTACACAAGTGATTTTTGAAATGTTAACAAATTCCCATAACCTAATATAGATTGCCTTTGGAATTCTATTCATCAATAGCAAGATATGTGAAAGCTTACGGTTAAATAGACAAATGAGACAAAGAACTTGTGTGTTTCCTTAGAGATTTCATTTCAATTTAACTTTGTTGTAAACAAATGCAGAACTAATCCAGTGCCGCAGTACAGCCACCAGTCATCAATGATGCCACCAAGGACATGGTAATAGTTTTCCAGCATCATGTTTATATTTTGTGTGGACTTTTTTTGTTTTGTTTTTTTCTTTCTCAGTGCTTATCACTTATTTTACTCAAACGATGATAATGCATTTCATTCCAAAGATTTTTTGAAAAATACAAAATCAGCAAATACTCTATTCTGATGTGTAGTCACTTCCCATATCCTAGCATCCTTAATTGTTCTTGGCAGAGGACAAAATATATCCTTCCCGGTTTTTTTTTTTTCATAGAGAACCTTAAAGCTAAACATTAGTTTATATCCTATTCTTATCTAATTTGTTTTAAAAGAATATCATGTTGTGTAATCTAAATTTATATAGTTTTCTTAAATAAGCTTAAAAATTTATGTTATTAGTTTCTATATTTTTGATATATAATAAGCGAGAAAATATAAAGAAATACAAAGTAATTATTGATACCGATATGATATTTCTAACGTTTTATTTATCGACTTGAGCACACAATGATATAAAGATCATCCATTCCTGTTTCGAACACTTAACGAAAACAAGTTCGGTGTAGATAAGATTTAAATCTGTATCGATGCAGGGTGAGATGAAAAAACTGAAACCCACTTCAGACTGCTGCCATTTCTAAGCCACTCTTCCGACAGCTGTTAAAATTATTCCAGTGACAGCTCATTATATTGTTTACAAGCGTTCAAAAGCATTTTGATGCGAATTTTTCAGAAAAAAAGTTATTCGTGATGGAATTCAAGCGTGATAGTGTGATTTCTTTATATTTGGCTGGAAATCCACAAGTGGCTATCGTTAGAGCGCTCCAGCATTTAAATGTGCATAAATCTTGTGTGTCTGATACCATCGCTCGTTACCGTGATACTGGTAGCGTAGCCCGACGTCAAGGAAGTGGACGGAGGAAGAAAACAGCAACATCAGCAGAAATGATTCGAAAATTAAAGAAGTGACTTGATCGAAACCCGTGTCGCAGTGGCCGAAAATTGGCTCATGAGCTGAACATATCGCCATGTTCCATTCGACAAATATTGAAAAATGAGCTCGGGGTAAAGACATTTAAATTCCTAAAAGTGCAAGAACTTACACCGCAACAGAGAGAAAATAGAACCAAAAGAGCTAAACGGCTGCTTCGCTTGGCCAAAAATGGAGAACTGCCGAATTTGTCGTTGTCCAGCAGTTTGTAAACAAACAAAATGATCGTGTTTACTTGCCAAAGAGGACAGCTGAAAATGTGCGCCTTCGGTTGGCCACCAGAACTCAAGTGCCGGCCAATGGTGAAGGTGTGGAACGCCATAACAGCCGATGGTCGCTCTACGCTCGACCTTGGCATCAGAATAAATGCCGAATATTATCGCGAAAATATTCTGGAGGGTGTATTAAGGCCATGGGCATCCCAACAGAACTCAGCACCATCGTACTCAGAACGAACGAAAATGAGGTTCCTCGCTTCATTTCCAAGACACAATGGCCACCAAAATTTCCGTATACCAATCCGTTAGACTTTTGTTTTGGAATATTTTGGAAAGCAAAGTTGGCAATAAAAAAAAACAAAGTGGCGATCACCTCAATCAATGGAATGGGCCAAAATTCCTCAGAGCAACATTCGGGCAGTGACGGGTTCACTGGCCGTTTGAAGGCCATATGCAGAGGACTTTACTTCTCTTTATGGAGTTCTTCGCCGAAATTATGTTTCAAAACCTGCAAAATTCAAATGTTTTTTTCTAAGGGACACATCAAATCTCTTGGTATTCGGCTGTTATCTAACAAAAGTTCTGCAGTAATGGACAAATCTCTGGAAATTCTTGCCCTTCTTGGTTTTTTTTTTTTTTCGCAAAAGCCCCTCAGCACTCAGCTCTAGAAATAGGTAAAGTAATAAGACTCGACCATAAACTAATAAAAATAGTAAAAAAAAAGAAACACACAACAAAATTGTTTATAATGTCTCTTTATTTTAAAATGTTAAGGGCATACACTTTATTACAACTATAATACCGTGCAACAAAGAGGTGTATGTGATCCATGATCTGTTGGGTACCCACCATATGGGTGGGGGGGGGCTAAATATATCTCGGAATACCGACTCCACTGTTTCTGCCTGCTTCAACGTAATATCGTATATTATACAAATTAAGAAACAATCAATTGAATTATTTAAAACAAGGTTAGAATTTAATTTTGTTCATTTTTTACAATTTGGATTTGAATGCTCCAAACATTTTACATCAGAATCTGCACTAGAGTGTGGTGCTATAATCTGGCTACATCATAAAATTAAGGAAATGTGTATGCATTATTATAATAGAAAAAACTTAAAGGACGAGAATATGCTAAAATTAATCTCTGTTTAATATTATCTTAGGTGTAAGTTATTAGGAAGTCGTCACACGGAAACTGTGTTTACTTTTTCTTTTTCTTGGCGTTTTTCTCGGTGGCCACTACTTCGGATTTGCGTTTCTGATTGGTTTTAGACGAAGGAGCTGCAGCTGGTGCATTCGAGTTTTTGGTCACCTTTTTCTTCTTTTCCTGGCGTTCTTTTTCCTCCAATTCGAGATTTTCACGTTCAATTAGGGTTATAAGGGTATTGCAACGCCTTTGTAATTCCAAGGCTGTGCGAGATTTGATAAACCAATCGAAACGGAATTGAGGTGATGCTCTGTAAAAAACGGGGTCATTGGTTAAAAAACATAATTTGATATAAAAGTCAAGTCTTTACCTTATAGCAGCTCTTAGCTCTTCGTATACATTTTCCTTGTCAAAACCAAGTTTGTGCAACATACAGACCAAAAATCTATCCTCAATTTCGGTATAATTTTTACCCTTGTTGTTGCCATACTGTAAACGGAGTTGATGGAATGGGGCTCGGTATCGGGACATCTGAAACAATGACATTAATAATTGATTTCTTTTGAACTAGAATTTTGTTTAAGTTTCCTACTTTCTGATCCAAAGCCTTTTTAATGGAAAGACGCCTTTGAATTTTGCCCTCACCCCTTTCAATTTGTGCCATTATTCTCTCAATATCCTGCAACTCATGACAACGTTCCCAAAACGCCGCATTATATTCAATAACCTCTTCGGGAGTTTTGCCCTCAACATCCTTGGCGATGTTTTCTATATCATCACGACCATATTTCTCATTGGCCTTAATAAATTGATTGAAATCACGCTTGCTCCAATTGGTAAATCCTAGGGTTAACAAATATTCCTTTTCAGCCAATTCTTCCTCGGTTAGGGGTTCAGCTTCGTCGATTTTACGTTGCTCTTCTCGTTGAACTTTTGTGGCCTCAGATCCCAATTCCGGATTTTTGGGTACCTTATAACCAACTGTCTTACGGAAGTAATAGATTTCCTGGTCAAGAATCTCAAAGAGGCGTGGGGGGAAGAATTGGAAATCTTGTACAATGGGCTGTTTAGGTGGACGCGGTGCTTTGGGAGCCTTGGGTTCTGATACACGTAGAGCCTCACGGAAATAGGCATCCACGGCATAGTTGGCTTTACGTTCTCTCTTTGGAGGTTCTATCCAGTTACCCAAGGCATTGAGTTTTTGTTTCTCACGATAATCTTCACCCTCAAATTGATAGACCGAAGATGAGGCACCATCCGCATTTGTGTCCATCGTGAAGGTGCGCAAAGAACTTTCACCCAACGAATCATATTTAGCCTTTTCTTCCATAGTTTTGGCTTCTCCACGTTCCAGAATAGTGTCGATATCTTCATCGGTCAGCTCAGAATCCTTGGAAGCAAATACATGATTGGCACCAAAGCGAATGATGTTCAACATTTCATCCTTGTTCAATTGATTGCCTGTATTGTTGGTCAAACGTCCTTGCTGTATAACCATTTTATCTAATCTCAATTTTATTTCAGCCCGTTCAACAATCTTCTCCTCCACAGTATTCTCAGTAATAAAACGGAAAACTCGTACTTGTTTCTTTTGACCAATACGATGGGCACGATCCATAGCCTGTAAGTCCATTTGAGGATTCCAATCTGAATCATAGATAATGACGACATCAGCAGTGGCTAAATTAATACCCAAACCACCAGCTCTAGTGGACAACATGAATATGAACTTGCTGGAATTTTCGGCATTGTATTCTTGAATCTGACGGTTACGATCTTCATGTGGTGTCTGACCATCCAAACGGCAGTATTGATAGCTACGCCACAAGCAGTAATCTTCCAAAATATCCAACATACGTGTCATTTGTGAGAAAATCAAGACTCTACTACCTTGGGCTTGCAATTTGGGCAATAGCTTGTCGAGAATTACCATTTTGCCGGAGTTAAAAACCAAATGTGTATCTGTAGTGTAGGGTGGTCCAGGTTCAGCACCATCAAACAAATATGGGTGATTGGTACATTTACGCAATTGCATCAAAATATTTTGCAAACGCATTTTTTCCAGTTTACCAGCCCCGTTAACAACATCGATATCCTTCATTAATACTTTAGTATACCATTCTCTTTGCATTTTTGAAAGACCCACAAAGATTTTAATTTCTTTTTTGGGTTTCAGACGTTTTTCGACTTCGGATTTCAAACGTCTCAACAAGAAGGGTTTCAGCACTGCATGCAATCTCTGGACTAAAGCATCATCGCCCAAACAGGAGTTGGTATTAAACCACTCATCGAAATCCTCGGATGAATTGAAAACATCCGGTAGCAAGAAATTCAATAAAGCCCACAATTCATGTAAATTGTTCTGCAATGGTGTACCGGTAATCAAGAGACGATTGGTGGTCTTGAATTCTCTTAAAATTTCTGATAATTTTGATTTTTCATTCTTTATACGATGAGCCTCATCAATGACCATATAACGCCAATTGAATTTTTTAAATACCGATTTTTCACGAATACACATTTCATAAGATGTTACACAAACATCCCACTCGCCGGGCAACAATACGTCACGTATAAAAGTGTTACGTGCTTCCTGATCACCAATCAGGCATACCGCCCTCAGTGATGGGCACCACTTTTGGAATTCATTTACCCAATTTTGGAGAGTAGATTTGGGTACAATGACAATATGAGGACCGGCTTGATTTCTGTAAGAATAAAAAAAATGTGAAATTGCGGTCCATATTATGTTGTACATCACATGTATTAGGTTTTTTGGGTGTTCGTGTTAAAACAAATAAAAGAAAAAGGGCTAAAGAACTTTCTTAGTACTTCCAATCTCTTGTCTTACCAGTATACTGACATTAGAATCTAGAGATTCTATAGCGCCATTTTTTATGGGAAAACAAGATAGGACGGACTTTTATGATACGATCATTTAGTTCTATAAATTGACTAAGTCTAGCTATGTGTAATATAACAACTTACTTGAAATGCTTTAGGTAGCCCAACAACGAAATGGTTTGCAAAGTTTTTCCCAAACCCATTTCATCGGCCAAGATACCGTTGATACCGTTTTCATGCAGCGATATCATCCAGTTGAGACCTCGAATCTGATAATCACGTAATTCACCACCTTTAATATAGGCCGGTGATGCTTCAAACCGGAAAATATCTTTGTTTTGAGTATCTTCAGCCAATAACTCTTCATCTTCTTCCTGTTCGGTCTTGCGATGGCGGTGGCTGCAAAAAAACAAAAATGTTTACCACACACACATTCACACAAACTCGCCTATGTATGTATGTGAGCATGTACTTACTCAGCATTCGATCCTCCGTCTTTTTCCTTATCCTTAGTCTTTTTTGGTCGACCTTTCGGTTTTGTGGGACTCTTGATGCTATTGCTCATAAAATGTGTGAAAATTTCGGTTTGTTTTAGCAAGAAATCAAAGCGTTTACTGCTATCCGATTTTATTTTATTGTCATAGCCCTCCTCCTTTTCACCCGAAGATGAAGTTTTCTCCGAATTTGTTTCATTCTGCAATGGTAAGAAATTTTTATTCTAGTACTTCCAGTTTAAGAAGGCTTGCAAACTTCTCAATTTGCAGTCCGCTTGTCTGGGATAGCATCCTTTTACAATCCAACACACTACATTTTCATGTCTCGGTGGCTGCGTGTCTGTGTGTGTAGGTGATTGCAAAAAAAAATCAATTATTTCTTACCGAATTCTCCTCAGTCGCCTCAGGTCCTTCAACCTTTTCTTCTTCATTGGACATTTTGTATTTTTAGCTTCTTAGGTTTTGATTATTAAATAATTTAATTTTTAACTGAAGTTTGATGTCTTTCTTGCTTCCTTTTTACTGCGAAAAACCAAGCCAGCTGCAACACACACCAACCAAGTAAATGCGAGAAAAATTACCGCGTTTTAATCGATAACACATTGCTTTGTCGCTTGTCAGTTATCGACAGAGTTGCCAAGTTTTGTAGTTATTGTTTGAGACACAAATATTTCATGAGAAATTTCGGGAATTTAGAATATAATAGCATTCCATTAATTTATTTTCGCAGTAAGATTTATTCAGTAAGAAGTTACCGAGAAAAATACGATTTAATCCCGCACGACAGAGAGAAACATTGAAAAAGTAAAAGAACAGCATATTGCAAAACATTTGCAAAAAAACGGTTCCCTCAAAACAACTACAGTGCAAATTTTACCGGCAGAAGTCTTTTAATCCTTTTTTTGTTTTTACATTTTCATTACAAAACATTGCTCTATTCCAGAACCTGCCAGAATCTACTATTTATTTACTTTATAAAGGGCAAATCATGCAGTTCTGGAACAGACCAATATTGGACAATAAAGAAATATTAAACATATAATAAAACATAAACCATTTCCATACACAAAAATAACCTTCTGCAACAAATACCCATTATGATGACTACGATCATTACGTCCGTTACTTAAGCAATAATTATACTGTTCGAACTTCGAAGAATACAATAACAAACAATTATCTCTCAACGAAAAGGCTGACACAAATAATAATTTATTTCGAATGTTTATTGTGTTTTAAATAATATTACATTGCTATAAAAATGTGAGGAATCATCGTTTTTAAATTAGATCTTCTTCACAATAACGTCATGCCATCCTGTAACATTACGATAACATTGAACATCGATAAACAAAACAACACTGCTATCGGATAAATATTCGGAGAGAGAATGAGAGTTCAGTGTGTTTTCGTTTATTTTGGTGTTACGAGCAGATAATCAATTAATACGTACGTACTATTATTGAAAACTAATAAATTCAATTGTTGGAAAAAATTACTAAATTAGCCTTGCTATTCAACCCAACACAAGATATTTTACAAAATAATTGTTTACTTTCGTTCAAGCGGCAGATAAGAGTTCATTTACTTACAAAGCAAAACAAGACAAACGAATGGTAGCAAAAGTATCCCAAGACGACACAACACACTTTCAGGGTATTTTGTGAACTTTATGGACATTAGAAAATGCAATCTACAAATTTCAATTTTAGTTTTGATTTTTTTTTTTCACATACATTTGAAACAATATCAATTTCTATTTGATTTGTTTTAAAATAATTAAATTCAAAACTACATACACACACAAAATACTGGCATCAATTAAGCTGAATACTAGTCGTTTTGGTAAGTATATTGCAAAACATTCATACTTTAAATTAATAGTTGGAAAATATTCTCTGCATTAACAGTGTCTATAATAGCAACAAGTTTAATCAATTACGAGAAACATTCAGCACATCTGGAGTTTTTGTTTTGAAACAATTTCAGAACGCCCGTTTTTTCGTCTGCAGAGGCTTTCTATAATCAAACTCTCCCTTCTTTACAGTTCTTTGGCAAGTCCTTGGTCATACCTACAAATTTAAAAATGAGTAAAAACGAAGTAAGTTAATGATCATTAATGACCTATTAAAGAACAGTGCATTTTTATTATTCTTTATTAGGCAATAGAAAATTCCTGCAATGTAGATATATCCATGGATGAGGATAGGCTATTTTTAATAAAAGCCAAACTAGATAGTGGCGAATACAATCTCAGTCCCAAACGAAAAAATGCCTATGTCTGGTGTATATTTGGAAAAGTTGAAAACCACTTGGGTGATGAGATATCACCCAATCTTGTGGCTTGTCGATTTTGCCATAGTGTTCTAAAGTATACAACAAGAACAACTTCAAATTTAGTCAGACATAAGTGCTACATTGCAAAAATGAAGGAAGGTGCACTGACAAAAGAAGCAGTTGGAAAAAAGTGTGCCAAACCAGATGGTAACGAGGTGAGTCAACGATTTATTTGTTTGTTGAAATAAATATTTCTCCATTATGTACATAATGCTAATGCTGCGAGTTGAACAGCCTAAAACAGGAAACCCAACAAATGATGATTTTTTGAAGGAAAAAGCCAGTTTCACTTCAATATTCACGAAAATAAGAAAAGGCGAATTTAAAATAGGCAATATCACAGGGCGAAGCAATGTTTGGCACATATTTGGCACAATTGAAAATCGTTACAATGAACAACTACATCCTAATCTTGTAGCTTGTCGTATTTGCAATCATATCTACAAATTTAATGGTAGATCAACTTCAAACCTAGTTAAACATAAGTGTTACATCAGGAAACTGAAAGAAAATGCATTTGGCTCGGGAGAAGAGGAAAAGTCAGAAGGTTACATCAAGAAATTGAGAGAAAATGCCTTTGCCTCGGCAGAAGAGGAAGAGTCAGAATTTAATGTAGACGCATCTTTGACAGAGGACACATGTTTCAGTGAAGAAAAGTCACAATTTAATGCAGATGCATCTTTGACAGAGGACACATGTTTTAGTGAAGCGGAGGAACTTAACACGGAGATTAAAACAGAAAAAGAGGAATTACTGACAACTTTCACGGAGGAGGTAACTAGATTATTCTCTTTTCAATGATTAAAATGATTAATTTAACAAATATTTTCCTAGAACATGGAGGAGGACGATCCCCTTAATAACAATAATAATGAATATGTTGCAGACCCTTTCAACTACTCAGCAATAAAGTGCAAACTTCTAAACGGTGAATTGAAGATAAATAACAGAGAAGGGCGAAGTAATGTTTGGACAATATTTGGCAATGTAGAAGATCCACGGGGTCAGGAGTTATATACCGATCTTGTGGCCTGTAGAATTTGCTATAAAATTTATAAAAGCAATAAGAGATCAACCTCAAATTTGGTTAAACATAAATGCTACATGGAAATTGAAGAAAATTCCGCAAAGGATAACTCTTACCGCTGTGAATTGTCCATAGAAAACGCCAGATCTCTTGCAGGGAGCAATGAGAACGATGTAAGATATATTCATACAATAACAAAATATATACATATGACTAATAAGTAACATTTATTTTCCCAGAGAGTGGATAGTCCAACTGATTTTCCTGAAATTGATAGCCTATTGGGAATAAAGTCGAAAATTCTAAGTGGGGAGTACAAAATAAGTTGCAAACAAGGAAGAAGTAATGTTTGGAACATATTTGGTAAAATTCAAAATGAATTGGGCCAAGAATTATATTCCAAGCTTGTGGTCTGCCGTATTTGTTATAACATTTATAAATATAATTTAAGCTCAACTTCGAATTTGGTTAAACACAAATGCTATTTAAAACAGGCAGAGGAAAACAATGCTTCAATTGAAGTAAGTGCTGATTTCAAACAAGAAGCTGTGCGAATTTTTACTGAATGGTCCATAGAAAATTGTCGATCATTTAAAATGGTTGAGGATGCGGGCTTTAAGAAGCTCGTTGAATTCCTTATTTCCCTTGGCGCAACGTATGGCAAACAGCTGGATATAAATAGTGTTTTACCAAATATAACAACAATCTCTGGAAAAATTGATGACATCTACACCACATGTCTGGATGTAATAAAATCGGAAATATCATCAATCAAGGATATTGGATTTGGATTGACGGCAGATATTTGGTCAGATACATACCTAAACCAATCATTTTTGATATTTACAATGCACTATGTCAGGTATGGGTCATTGTTTAGAAGACTTTTGGGTATTAATGTTATAAATGGCAAAGCATGCACAAGTAAGATTACATAACATTAGCATTTTATTTAAACATTCTAAATCATATTTCGATTTATTTTTCTTTAGAGCAAAACATTATCGTGAAAGCCAAACGTTTGCTGAATTATTTCAATTGTGATTTGGAAAAGTATGCCGTCATTGTAACAGATAAAGAAATTAATATGACAACGGCATTTGCCACATATAATCACATCACGTGCATGACACGTTTAATTCAGGACGCCATACAAAATGTTTGCGGAAATGTACCCGCCGTTAACACTCTGTATAAGAACTGTGTTAATATTGTAAAACATTTGGGGAAATTCCAGCAATCTACTCCCATTAAAAGTTTTATGGAAAATTTCTACACAACTTCTGGTGACACTGTCTATGCAATGTTTAGTTTTGTTGGAAAAAATTGGCAAGAAATTTCCCAACATAATCACAAAGATAATGAGATTGTTGAAATATCTCAAATTAATATAAATGAAATTAACGATATTCTCAATATTTTTGAGCCATTTCAAGATGCCTTAAAAGTTCTACAGGATGAATCAAATGCAACACTGCATTTGGTCATTGTTTACATACATCGTCTGCGAAAGTTATGTGCCGTTGAGCCCAAGGACTTGGAAATTATAAAGGAATTAAAAGCAAAACTTTTGAAGTATTTCGATAGTTCAATTATGCCCAATGTAACAACAATTCATAAAATTGCCTTGTTTCTTTTCCCACCTGCCAATAAACTGATCCAATACGACACTGTGGAACGGGAACGTATTAAATCGGAATGCAAAAAAATCATGGAAACGTATTTGGAAGAAGATCTTGCCACAAATGAGGAGATTGATGGCGATAATAATGCTTCGACATCCGCAAAAGACGATATATTTTCTGATTTTATTGCTCAACCGGACAAAACGCAAAATATCAGCGCTGTCGATCACGAAATTGAAATGTATGAGGGAATTCAAATTAAATTCAGTGATAATTTCAATGTTCTGCAATGGTGGCATCAGAATAAAAATACATTTCCACTGTTGTACAAGACAAGTTGTAAAGTTTTAGCGGCGCCCGCCAGTATGGCATATTCGAAGGATATTATTTCTTTGGCTCGTAATTTTATAGCTGACAAAAAATACATTATTCACCATAAAAATGTTTCCATTAATAATATAATGTTTCTGCATTGTAATTTGGAAAATTTTGATTTAGAAACATTTTTTATAAACGAAAACAATGTTGAATCATAAAACATTTACATTCTATGTATATATGTATATAATTTTAAATTTTATTAGTTAAGAGGTTGAAATATTTTTATATGAATAAATAAATTTTTAGCAAGACTAAGATAAGAATAAATAACCGTTTCTTTTTTTTTTTAAATGACAAGAAAAATTTGAAATGATATTTAATATAGCCAGCTATTGAACTATATGTCCCTTTGTTAATGTTTTCAGTAATATGAAAACTTATAAACCTGAAATTGTAGAAGACAACCATTGGAATGTAATATATAGGTTGTAGAGAATAGTTGGCACCATTCATATATAATTCTGGAAATATCTTGTGCATATTGAAATTTGTAACAAAGAAAAAACTTTATCTTGGAACTCCCACGGAATCTTAACAAAACTACAACATTCCCGTGAAATTTATAATACCTAAAAGGGTGGCAACATTGACGTAGTTTTCATGTTACTTTACTATGTGGCAGCGCTAGGACAACAAGAAGTCGTCATGTCTCATTCGTAAACAAAGGGTTCTTGGACTTTATGCACTACACTCATTCGTAAACAACGGAGTTCTCGGGGATTTTGCTTTCTGTTTATTTTTTAACGGGCATTATCCGTTACCTTCCTATTTGTTGCGTTGGGGACGTCTTTTATTTCGGTGAGTGTTCCGTTGTTGCTTGTCAAAAGCGGTATTACTTAACACGCGCTGCTTTCGCCAATAAAAACAATACACGAATTAATAAATTAATGGAAAGAGGTAAGTAAAATTTAAAAGATTTACAAAATATAGAAAAGAAAAATAGTCACGATGACCGGCCTACCACTCACGCACAACAAACTATGATGACAAACAAAAAACATGAATGATGCGGACCATGACCACATACTTCCATTGGTGTAATTCATTATATGGAAATAACCTTGGTCATATCACTTAAAATGTTAACAGTAACAATTTTTTTTGGAAAAATATTTTTAATTGTATTGTTCCCTTTTCAGAAAATATCTCTTCCCGGCCACATCATGTTCAGCTTTGTTAAAAATCACTGGAAAAAGCTGGCCTTTGTTTCCGTTCCACTGGGTTATGGTTCAAACTATTTGTGGACTGAACATCAGATATCCCAACATATGCAAGACGTTTGCCGAAATCTACCCGAAACTTCATCGAAAATACCACAAAGAGCATTGGTGGTCATCAATCCGGTGGCCAATGACAAGTCATGTGAGAAGACATTTCGAAAATATTGTGAACCCATCTTGCATTTAGCTGGCTATTCCGTGGAAATACTTAAAACTAAAGAAATCGGTCATGCCAAGTCCTTAATTGAATCATTACCAATTTTGCCAGATGTTTTGGTTATTGCCGGTGGTGATGGTACGTCATCGGAGGTGGTAACCGGTCTTCTGCGGCGTAAAGATGATCCATGTCCAATTTTGTTATTACCTCTGGGAGAGCGCAATGAAACGGTTTCAGCATTTCTGCCCGTGGATTCGAAGAAAAAAGTGGAGTACGTTAAATGTTTGTCCGCCTGTGTGTTGTCATTGCTACAGGAACGATTACGTTATCGAAATGTCCTAAAATACGAAGTATTGCCCGATGAAAGTGATCCTGAGCCACATAGACCAATTTATGGATTGCAAAAGTTCTCATGGGGTCTTTTGCGTGACATTGAAGCTAAAAAAGATAAATATTGGTATTTTGGTTTTCTGAGACATCATGCCGCCGCCTTGGCCACTAGCTTCACCAATGAAATGTCTCATAGCATCAAGGCTAATTTGACATGTACACCACCCTGTCCAGGATGCACAAAGTGTGCTGAAACAAAAACCCATACCCAACGTGTTTTTAAGAAGCTGTTTGTCTCGAAACCATCTTCGCCCATGGCTGCAACGGTGGTCAATGATTCATGTGGCCAAAAAGAGGAACATAATGTTGAGGCCAAACAAATGGACATTTTATGGAAACAAAATGGACAATCATTTGCCGAATTGAATACAGAAATTATTGAAACCATATCGGCGGGCATTGACTTCGTTACAAACATTAAGAAAAAGATGGAGCCCTCGCTAATGCTCAAGAGTCGCACAGTTGAGTTACAACCCAAAGAATTCGATATGGCCACCTACACCATTGATGGGGAGGAATATGATGCACGTGCTGTAAAAATAACGCTGTTGCCAAATCGCATTAAGTCCTATAGTTAAATTGATTTTTATTATATAAAGGAAGCGTTGTGAAAACGATTAAAATATTTTTTTAATTTATTTGTTAATGGATTGGGTATAATAGGTAGAAGAAACGGATACATAAAAACATTGCACAATGCTTCTAAACAAATGGGAGTGCGTGGGGTGATTTTACGACACGGATCCATCTACTTCGTCTAGAAAAAAGAAGGTAAGTAATACTGGAATAGGTTCAAAAGAAATACTGAAAAACAACCCTGTGGCTATGCCGACTTTCTAAATCAAATATGACAACCCTTTTCTCACGAATGTAAATGTTGACAGCGACTGTACCTCAAGTGATTTATCCGTTTACTCCAATTTTGGCATACTCCATCCGGTGTCTCACAAATTAATGCTTCAGGCTTGTCTCTATCATGGTAAAATTAAGATGGTAGTCTTTTCAAATAAACTTTCCCATCTTTGCATTTTTTGTAATTTAGCTTTTCAAATTTCACTGCATGGAAAACCGGTTCCCATCTCTGATTTGTGTATGTACAAAGGATTTATAAATGGTCTGTTTCAGAATTTGCACGAAACTACTTGTTTTGCGATTTTCTCCGATATCATAAAGGGAAAATCGGTTATCGTAGTAACAATTACATTCTCGCAGTTCTGGAACAGACCAAAACATACATTTTGACAATGAGATGTTGTCAATTGAATAATTTTGAAAAATTTGTAAACATATGATTTCATGAGTTCAATTTCTTAATTCTAATTTCTTAATTCTACCTCTCTATATACATGTTTTTTAACATAGCTCTACAAAAAATAGCCTAAAATCTCCTGTCCAGAACATAAAAAAATTTCACCGAACACGTCTCTCAATACGCGCGCTGTGTAGCATGTGGCATCGTGTTATTGAAACCACATATCATTCGTGCATTGGGGCACACAAAAGTTAGATATCTCACGAGGACGCTCACCATTCGGAGCTTCTTTGAAGAAGTTCGCTCCAATTTTGGATGCATGGGTAGCTTTTTGCAATGCTTCTGGCTGATCTTCTCTCCAAAATCAACAGTTCTGCTTATTTACGTACCCATTGATCCAAAATTTAGCTTCGTCACAAATTGGAAGAATCCCGCAATGGACTTTCTTAACGGAACAAGCGTTTTGATAATAAATTTAAATGATATGCAAGCGTTGTCCGTTTTGTAAATTGAAGATGTTTGACAGTGAGGCAAAATGCGAAAAGTGCGTGATTGTTAACAAAAAAAAAAAAAAAAAAAAAAATAAGAGACATAATCCGTCTGATAGAGTCTTTATGAGCTAAAAGTACGTTTAGATTGATGAAATCTACTCGATCTCAAACATAGATGTTCCGTTGATGGCATGGCAGAAGAATACAGGTAGATACATGGTACAATGAATTCAAGGTAGAGCAGAACTACCATATGATTTAAATTTTTTTTTTATTTTTCTGGGTTAATATGTCAACTTCATTTGCTTATGTGTGTGTCTTCTTTTCAAAAATAAAAATTTTTTCAAATATAAGTTGATTTTTATATGTTTTTATAATTCGGTTATTATAATTCGTGTTTTTCAACAATTTTAATAAATTCAAATAATTTTTCATTCAACATTTTCAATTCCAAAATTGGTTTGACAGTTCATTGTCCCAGCAGCTGTGTCGTTGCGTCTACCTATATTCTTCTACCATAGTTGATGGTACATCACAATTTCTATGATCTCAAATGTCAATTCCCTAGCGTATACGTTACGTAGTATCCATTAGATTTACGAAACGTATACGCTATTGAAATGACATTTGAAATAGAGTGAAAGTAAAATTTTATTCCCTATTTTATATTTTTTCCCTTCCTTTAGTACAAAATATTTTGTCAAATATTAACAGATCAAAAATTAATTTGGTCTTCGACGTGAAAACCACACAGTGACCATTTTTAAGCTGAACGAAGCGTGAAAATATAATACTGTTGGCAGCTATAAGTGGCAACAATAAATAAATTTGAGGCATGTTGTATATTGTCTGATTAGTTGTGGTTGGTCATGTATCAGGGTTAATCTGGGTAAAGATTTTGTATGTAAACGTACTTTTAGCTTTAAATGCAAAATTCTTGCCAGTTGTACGCCCATATCTAAGGGAGACCTACAAAATATAAATTTGACAATAAAAGGGCAACAAATAAAAATACCTTTGTAATTGTACCATGCGATAAAAAACTTTTTTTTTTTTTGAAAAAAATTATATTTCTTTTTTATTTATTTGACTTTGTTAAAATCGCTTAAAATAACAGGGTCAATCTGGGTAGAGATTTTGTATGTAAACGTACTTTTAGCTTTAAATGTAAAATTCTTGCCAGTTGTACGTCCTTATCTAAGGGAGACCCACAAAAAATAAATTTTGACAATGAAAGGACAACAAATAAAAATACCTTTGTAATACCATTTTTTTTTTTTGTAAAAAATTATATTTCTTTTTTATTTATTTGACTTTGTTAAAATCGCTTTGAAATCGTAATATTAATACATATTTATGTATAAAACTTAATAATATAAAACTTAATTGTAATTTAAGTACAATTGTGCGCATATATTTAGGAATAAATATCACTAAGGGCTTGTGTAAAATAATGGAAAAAAAATAATAGTTTGAGGTTATGGCTAAAATGTTTACAAATTTGAAAATTTTCACTTAAAGTAAATTCATAATACACGTATGTATGCTTCTTTCATAATAACTTATTTTTTTTTTTAAATTTTACACAGTTCCTTAGGGAATTTCCACACTAAATTTAATAAAAAAAAAGACATTAACTTATGAAATAATATCAATTTCCAAGGGCAGTCTATTAAGTTGCAATAAACAGAAAGCACCTTAATTTCAATATTTAGGACTAAAATTTAAAACAACAATTTTTATACTTGGTCGTTTTCTAAATATTTGCAACAATAAATATATCTCTGTTTACAACAAGCACAAAAAAATTAACAATAACATTTGCTTAGAAAATATTATCCACAATTTCAAAAAAAATAATAACTAGATTATATTTAAACTAATTAAACCTATTTGTGATTAGATCTAATATATAGTTCACAACTGTGGGGAATGTGTTAGGGTAATGGGCGAGGATTGTGTTTTGTTTTTTGTTTATTTGTACATGTCAATGATCTCTTCAATACTGACAGTTGCACCGGCCACCAGGGCACAAATGGCTAAAATGCACAGTAAAACGTTTTTGATAAGCTTCCATTTGGCAAAACCCATATTGGGCCATAAGTAGACGGACTCGACAAAACTGGGCACGAAAATACCTGAAAACGAATTAGAGAAATTAATATTAAATCAAAAAATTTATATTTTATATTAAAGCAAGTTATTGCCAACCATGCTGCTTGGGAACATTGATGTGTCAAAACATTTAAAATTTTTTGTCAAAAATAAGTAGACTTTTATATGTTTTCTTATACGATGCAGATCATATGTTGTTACGATGTGTATTTTTCAACAGTTTTTTGAAAATTGCAATAATTTTTCATTCAACTTTTAAGATTCTAAAATCGGTTTGACAGTTCATTGTCCCAGCAGCTGTGTCGATGCGACTACCGGTACCATGTTGCCAACTTACCAAGCAGTGAGAAGAATACAGCACCAACCAAACTAATGAAGGGTTCCAAATTGGGTATGGCAGCAGCAACACCACCACTGATTAAAATAATACCCGTTCTAAGAAGAATCTGGGTTCTATTGTGATTTTTAGGATCGAATTTATGACTGATTTTCTTCCACAGAATATCATTGGGCACATAGAATTGCAGGCCATAGGTAAAGAGAATGGCAATGGCCATTAGCAATTTGGCGGCATCAGCCAATCTAGAAATTAAATAAAAGAAACATCTTTTAATAAAACACCACTCCGGCTATCAAAAACTCCAATCAAACTTACGGTGCGCCATCTGGTAAATTCAATGTAACACTTCCACGCACAGTTGGACCATAACGTACATAGCCAAAGAAACCAATGATGGCATACAGCGAAACAACCGTTATCATAGCCGTATTCAATACACCCGGACATCCCAAGAAATGTTGTGGTTTCTTCATGGAATTCTCGACAGGCATAACTACACCAATACCTTCCATGGCAAAGATGACAGTGGCAAAGAACAAGGGTATTTGCGTAACCTTGGCCACAAATGGTTTATCGCTAAACACCAATGGTACATTGAACATATAATACAGGGTGATGCCAAATGTAACCACAATAAAGACATTCGCCAAAGCCGAAAATGGAACCAGCCATTTTAAGTTGCGTATTTGTCCAATAAACAAACAGGGTATCAGGGTTAGGGCAATATAAATGCGTACATCCCACTTAAGATTCAAATCATAATTGATTACATCATGAAATGAGGTAGCAATAAAAACGATATAAACACAGGCAGCAGCATAATAGGTGGCCATTAGAGATCCATCCACAAATTGTCTGGGGGATAATATAATATTATTAACATTTTATTTTTACGTTTCCCTTTGGGGTTGTGACTTACTTGGCAAAGTTTGCCCATGGCCTCAAAGGTTTTGGACCATATTCGAAAACTTTCTCAGCGGTTTCGGAAAAGCTCAAAAAAGGCACTTTAGCATCTCGGCAAATGTTGTGAGAGGTTTTGACCTAAAAAATTAGAAATGTTATTAAATAACACCGATTTAAAAAATAATAAAAAGGAATAATGTAGCAATTTAAATAACGCATTTTATGTAAAAATGATATGAGTAAATCTAGTTCAAAATACATATAATTTGATGACTTGAAATTCTTCTCAATAGGTGATTTCATGAGCATTTTTGTGACTTGAAAGTCTGATCTTTACATGACTTGAATGTCAGATTTAGATGACTTTAAAATCAGCATTTCATGTGACTTGGAAGTCAGATCTTTAAATGACTTGAATGTTAGTTCTTTAGATGACTTAAAAGTCAACATTTTAGATGACTTAAAAGTGAACTCTTTAAGCTGCTATCAGACGATAAGGGTTTTACACATGTAATGTCAAATTGTTCACATTTAGAAGTTGCACACATCGTATGGTACATTGACGGCATTTTGAGTATTGAAGTACATGAGAAAAGTACATATGTACTTTTTCGATCACAGTGAGACCTTTTTTTTTACCGGAAAAATATAATTTAATCAAAGTGTTAAGCTGGGAATACATAAAGCGCATATTTGACTGGCTTAAGTCATCGGCTGGCTTCTTCGGAAATGAACAAAGGAGCCTAGGGCCAAAATCGAACTAGGTCAACCTAAAACTCCTTTGTTCATTTACGAAGAAGTCAGCCGATGACTTAAGCCAGCCAAATATGCGCTTTATGTATTCCCAGCTTAACACTTTGATTAAATTATATTTTTCCGGTAAAAAAAAAGGTCTCAAGGTTTCAAGGTGTGAAAATAAATAAATTAAATTTGTGGTAAAAAGTCTTCCATAAAGTAATATAATTAAAAAAAATGCAATATAATCACAATATAACCAAAGGTAATAAAAAACATATGCAAGCGTGGCATTGCAATCACACTATCACGCTTGAATTCCATCACGAATAATTTTTTTTTCTGGAAAATTCTTACCAAAATGCTTTTGTACGCTTGTAAACAATATAATGAGCTGTCACTGAAATAATTTTAACAGCTGTCAGACGAGTGACTTAGAAATGACAGCAGTCTGAAGTTGGTTGCAGTTTTTTCATCTCACCCTGCATGTATTTTTCTCATGTACTTCAATGCTAAAATGTCGTCATTGTACCACAGAAACCTATTTGGGTGACTTAAAAGCCATATCCTGGAGGTCAACTCTATAGATGTCTTCAAATTTATATATAGATGATATGACTCATGCTAAAATTAAGAAGGTGAAGTCATTTCAAATAGGCATATCAATCTCTGCATTTTCTGTAATTAACCTTGTCAAATTTTACTGAATAAACAAGGGGTTCCCATCTCTGATTTCTGTGTATACAATGGATTAATAAATATAAATTTTGGCAAAGAGTTGTTGTCGAACGAATAATTTAAAAAAAAATGTAAACATAAGGTGAAAATGTAAACTTAAGGTGAGAATACATAAAACGATTTTTTTGACTGGCTTCTTCGAAAAAGAATAAAGTGCCGAAATCGAACTAAGTCAACCTAAAACTCCTTTGTTCTTCTATGAAGCCAGTCGATGACTTAAGCCAGTCAAAAAGCGTTTCATATAGTCTGACCCTTAAGGCGAGAGTCTTCGGCTGACTTCTTCGGAAAAGAACAAAGGAGCCTAGGGCGGAAATCGAACTAAGTCAACCTAAAACTCCTTTGTTTAAAGATGGGACAAGACAGAGTCAAAATATGGCAACCCTGTGAAAATACCTCTGTTGTTATGATATCATAACAACAGAGTTGCCAATGTTAACTAATCGTAACCGCTAAGGCAATATGCATATTTTTGAAAAGGTCTGTGGAATAGAATTTTGAAACCAAAATTTTGGATTTTCAATTTTTTATTTGTTATTCGTTTCTGTAGTTGTCGTTTTTATATTAACATGTCTCTGCCACGAGCTGTCACTCTATGTATTGTAGACACAAACCATTTGCTCTATGAAGAAGCCAGTCAAAAAGCCTTTTATGTACTCTTGCCCTTAATTCTACTATGATACAACTGATAGAATGAATCGATCGATTTCAAGCCATATCATATATGAATTTAACCTCGACCCTCTACGAATACCCGGTATTGTAATTAAAGTATTTATTCATTGGAAAATTTATTGCAATACCATAGATTTACCATGCAATTTATACATGACCTGAATAACTTTGTTCGATAAGAAAATGTTCTTGACAAATTATGAAATTGGCTGCCATAATTTCATCGTCATTCCGATTAAATATCTAACAATTAATATCATATTACAAGTTGATTTTGCAAGCCTTGAACTAATTTTTGTTGTTTTCTTTTTTTAATAACGAGTTGAGTGATCTGTCACTAGAGAGACATTTCCAATTCACACATTGTACCCAGTTGTTGTAATAAATGAAAAAGAAAAAAATGACAGCTAATATTTGAAAAGATAAATTGTATTTGTCACTTATGAATCAATTCAAGCATCAAATTAAATAAACACTTAAATGATAATGGACCTATTCAGACAAGTGTTGCGGTACGGTGGTGATAGTATGACGTACGATATGTAGACAAACAATTGAATATTTGTGAAACTTTTTAACCCTTTCTCTCTGAGCGTCAAACTGAACTTACCAATATATGCACACAATAGGTACACAAGAAACCCACAATGATGGTGCCGATTAAACCAAATAATAGACCCGCATTGTAGAAAGCCATGGGCATAGCCAAAATACCCGTGCCCAAGGAAGACTTTAGTAAATGGGCCAAGGCTCCACCTGTTGATGCACCACTCTCCTGATCTCGATTGGCAAAGGGATCATATTCATCTATTTGTTGACCCTTTTCTGTAAGATTTGTTCTATGGAGAGACAAATACATATTAAAATCCAATTCCTTTACATATAATTTTTACTTAACTTACCTTGAATGAAAATCGCTTAAAGTAGCCACCGAACATGACTTCTCTTTCGATGTCGATATACTATCTGTGGACATCTGTTGTATGGCGGGAGGAGTAGGGCAGCGTGGTGAAAATGAAAATGCAAAAAAGATAAACAAAGTTAATTAATTGTCTGAATTTCAATTTACATTTTTAAATTAATTAGTAAACATTGTTTTTTTTTTTTGGTTTTGGGTGTGGGTCTATATATTTTTTGTTATTGTTCTATATAATTCCGAATGATTAATTATTTAATATTTATAATCTCATTCCGTTTTTTTTTTTTTGTGTGAAATATTAATGTTTTTTGTTTTTGTAAAATCACGTTTTTCCTTAGGAAATGAAAGTAATTGAGATCTAATTAACTAAAAAAATTGATAGAAATAATCATATGAGCTCTGACAATTTCGACGTTTAAAAATATGTCCCCAGATATATAGGCCAAATCTTGATCTATGAAAATATGAAATGTTAATTAAAAAAACTGTTAAAATAAAAAAAGTAAAATGAGGATTTTTTTAAGAATATATATTCATGGTAGAAGAATACAGGTAGATGCATCAACGCTGGGGAACATTTTTATATGTTTTCTTATACGACGCCAATCGGAGGTTAAGCATTTTTCAAAAATTTAAAATAATTTTTCATTCAACATTTTCAATTCAAGAATTGGTTTGACAGTTCATTGTCCCAGCAGCAGTGTCATGAATATATTTTCCAATAAGAGTACGTTTACATCTTACCGAATTTATTAAACCTATTAGATTTAAATAGTCAATTTCATTGAATATACGTCTAATAAATCCTTATATATGAGGTTAAGCCGACAAAAAGCTGTAATGTAAACATACTATAATAATATATTATAATCATGGTAGAAGAATACAGGTAGACGCATCGCTACAACTGATGGGACAATGAACTGTCAAACCCATTTTTAAATTGGAAATTTGAAAGGAAAAAAATATTCAAATTTGTTGAATACGCATATTATTATAACCTCCGATTGGCGTAGAATAAGGAAACATATAAAAATCGACTTATATTTGAAAAAAAACTCTTTAATAATTTTGACAGAGCAATGTTCTCAAGCGTTGAGGCATCTACCTGTATTTTTCTACCATGGTTAGAATTGAATTAATTCTCTACAATTAAAGGTGCAAGTACTTGAAGTCATGGCTAGGCGTAATAATGTCAAATTATAAAGGAAAACGACGGCAGGATTTTAGTGCGGCTTTGTAATCACTTTATGAAATGTCACGGCCCTAACATGCCTTTATATTTGTCATTTGTAAAGCAAGAAAATTAAGCCAGGCACTGACTGTGTTTTGGTTTTAAGACGTTGTGGATTTCCATTGCATAAATAAAATCCACTCATGTAAATATGCTTTAAAATGGTGAATCATTTTAGTATGTTTACACGCTGGCGAATAGGTCTGTTGTGTTGAGATTAAAATATTTTTTTACACGAATACACATGGTAAAATTAAGAAGGTAACGTCATTTTAAATAAGCATTAACGCTTGGGAACATTGATATGTCCAAAATTTTAAAATGTTTTATCAAAAATACGTATATTTATAAATCTTTTCTTATACGACGCAAATCGATGGTTGTTATAATCTAAATTTTTAACAATTTTTACAAATTTCAATAATTTTTCATTCAACATTTTCAATTTCAAAATCGGTTTGACAGTTCATTTTCCCAGCAGCTGCGTCGATGCAACTACCTGTTTTCTTCTACCATGGTATGTACAAGGGATTTATAAATACATATTTTGACAATGAGATGTTGTCAAATGAATAATATTTGAAAAAAAAATTGTAAACATATGATTGCATGACTTTACCTCCTTGATTCTACCATGCGAATACATGTAAACGGAATAAAACTGGTTAACTGTCAAACAAAAAAAAACTAGTTTACGTCCTTAAAAATAACCAAAAGATTTGAAGATAAATCTTAACTGTTTACACAAGGTAGAATTAAGAAGTGAAAGTCACGCAATCATATGTTTTTTCAAAATTGATTATTTGAAAACATCTAATGATCAAAATGTATATTTAAAAATCTATTGTACATTTTGAAAAGGTAAATTACACAAAATGCAGCGATGGATATGCTTATTTTCAATAACTTTACCTTCTTAATTTTACCATGCATTTGATAGAATATACATTCCAGTAAGCTATCAGTTGCTTGTGTAAGTGCAATATTTTTAAATGACGCACAAAAAATACATACTATTATATTTAAACTTTATATTGGGGTACAAGTACTAAAAATTCAAAGAATTGTTTATTTCACAATCAGTTGATTGTCTAAATGAAAACAAAAATAACAAAGATATGTTTTTAACATCTTCTATATTTGTGTCTAAAATTATTACGGTTTTTATAAATATTTTTCAATTACACATAAGCTGTCAAAAATATTCTATAGTGACTTAGAAGTCAGACAGAAATAATTGTAAAATTGTCAACATTGATATGTTAAAGTTTTTAATTTTTTTTTCAAAAATAAGTAGATTTTTATTTTGTATACGACGCCAATCGGAGATTGTTATGAGATGCATTTTTCAACAATTTTTACAAATTTCAATAATTTATCATTTAACGTTTCCAAAATTAGTTTGACAGTTCATTGTCACAGCAGCTGTGCTCTTATAATTACGCTACGTTTACATATATGTCCTTTATGGTGTTCTATGGCGATTTATTTTCCGCATGTTTCACGAAGCGGACATAAATTTAAACTTTTTCAAAACCAATACTTATCTGTCATTTGTAAACTATTTATTAATTTTTTGCCTATCATTCGTTCAACTTATCACCACTTTAAATCAAATTACATTTTTGACCTTTGCGCATTAAAGCCATAATTATAAAGCACTACTACTGATAAGGATGAAATTTCGATATTACAGGTAAATGCACTGCGCTTATCACCAGTACTTGAGAACTCGTGTAATAACCTTGATTATTATCACACAAAAATTGGAAAATACTCTCCCATGTCTTACTTTCGTATGGCACTTAGATTATCTTAAGTGTATTTTTACTGGACGCCAGTCAGAACCAATCAACAAACAAAATAAGGCAATTGACATTGAGATACCAACACAAGAACAAAATTTAAATGGTCACAATCTTTAAAATTTATTGAGTTATCGGGGCTGTAATTTTGAACGTCAAACGATCATAAAATACATGTGGGACAATATGGCTACATATGTATGTTGCGTGTTTTTCGCGTGCCATATAGATTAGCTTGGGAAAATCAACTACACCCACATTTGCAAAATCAAATTAACAAATAAATTCCATGCGAACAAATAAGGTAATTTGTTTCTTTGAAATATTGGCCCAAAAAAACCAAGCCCCGCTGACCACAATTTATGAAATCTTTTGAATTCGTTTGTCTTATCAGGGCATAAAATTGAAATGCAAAATAAATCATAAACTATTTGCGAAAAGCTTCAAATCATTAAGAAATATGGGTTTTATCATTATTAGCAATTTTGACATTAAGTCATAAATTTTGGGTAAAGCGCCAAGGCATTTGACTTAAGGTTTTATATTTAAGATCAATGGGTGAAGCAATGACATCAATTGTATTATATGGTCCCCACAATAAAATTCTGCATGTGACTGAAGAGAACACTTTGTTCGAGGCATGTTATTGATTTACGACTATCGGTATCGGCAGCGGTAGTAGGATCGTTGATAAATTGTTAGTATCAATATTGGATTATTGATGGAAATAAACTTCTCAGGGTGTATGAACTATATATATATATATGCATTTTACACTTATATACAAATAAACATATTTATAGATTTTCATTGGAATTTCCCTATAAATTGTTTATTTTGATAAGACATTTATATCGAAGGAGCAAATCGAATTCTATTAATGTCATGGAGAAGAAGTGCAATAAAGTGGAATACACTATCAATATACCAAATGACATTTAATGACAGAACAGATAAAATACATACTATCGATCCTTTCATTATAACGCATGGCAGAAGAATATAGGTAGTTGCATCAACCCTTGGGAACAATGATATGTCAAAAAAAAATTAAATGTTTTTTCAAAAATAAATAGATTTTTATAAGTTTTCATATACGACATTAATCGGAGGTTTTTATGATATGCATTTTTCAAGATTTTTTACAAATTTAAATAATTTTTCATCCAACATTTTCATTTCCAAAATTGGTTTGACAGTTCATTGTCCCAGCAGCTGTGTCTCTGTCAAATTTCACGGTATAGCTTCCCATCTCTGATTTGTGTATTTACAATGGATTTATAAATATAAATTTTGACAATGAGGTGTTGTCAAATGAATAATTTAGAAAAAATTGTAAACATATGATTGCATGAATTTACCTTCTTGACTCTACCATACACGTTACCCTACGTTTTGTGAGAATATTTAAAACGCTTTTTTACTTGCCTTAAAGGTTAGAAAACTTAAAACATTTTTTTGACTAGCTTAAATCATCGGCTGGAGCTGGAACAAAGGAGCTAGGGCCAAAATCGAACTAAGTCAACCTAAAAATTTTTGTTCCTCTACGAAAAAGCTAGCCGATGACTTAAGCCAGTCAAAAAAGCCCTTTATGTACTCTCACCTTAAGTCATCGGCTGGCTTCTTCGTAAATGAACAAAGGATTTTTAGGTTGTCTCAGTTAAATTTCGGCCTATAATTTATACTTGTTCGCCCTCCTTTGTTCTTTTACAAAGAAGCTAGCCAACTGACTTCAAATGTCAAATATATAGGGTGACGTATACCATATAAACCTTATTCATACATTCAAGGGATATTATCTGACGTATACGCTATGGAATTGACATTTGAGATCTTGTGGATTGAGCAAATCTAAACGTACTATAAAGAATTTATTGATCTTAAATCCTGTTTACACATAATAAATCCAGTGATTCCAACCATGGCAGAAGGATACAGGTAGATGCATCAACGCTTGGGAGCATTGATATGTCAAAAAAATTTAAATGTTTTTTCAAATATAAGTAGATTTTTATATGTTTTCTTATACTACATCATTCGGAGGCTATTATAATTCGCGTTTTTCAACAATTTTTAAAAATTTAAATAATTTTTCATTCAACATTTCCAATTCCAAAATTGGCTTGACAGTTCATTGTCCCAGCAGCTGTGTCGACGCGTCTACCTATATTCTTCTACCATGATCCCAACTGTCAGTGCCACTATGTTTATTGATTATATGTAAATATGTTTTTATAATGTTGACATTACTCTTTATATCATTTTAATTTTTTGTGTTTTTAGCTAACGTAAATGAATGATTGATTAGAGAGATTTACGGTGTATTGGAGAAAAGAGAAGCCTAGCTAAATCTTTCTTTGAGCTCAAAATATATTCTTCTTTCCCATATGTTTTACAAAAATGATGTGTTATAACAAATAAACCCATTATTTTTTTTTTCATTGTCCCACGTTCACTCAAATTCTATGCATTCAAGCAATACAGACGTCAGTAATAATGGTATGAGGAAATTTCATAAGCCAACACGTGATTTTTTAGAATATATAGAATTGGAATTCTAAAACAATTAATTTGATTTGTCTACGACATTTTCTCGTGTGCATGGTAAAATTAAGTAGGTAACCTTATACAATCTTATTTTTTTTTTTAATTTTCCTTTCGATAACAGCTCATTGTCAAAATGTATATTCATAAATCCGTTGCATATTTACAAATCAGAGATGGGAACATGTTTACTATGCATTTGAGTTTGGCAAGTTTAATTTCAAAAATGCAGATCTGATTATGTTTATTTGAAATGATGTTATATTCCCAATTCTACCACACTATTAACATTTTCTCTAAAATTTACACACATTTTCGAGACCTACAATTTAGTAGTTATTGATGGGGAGCTCGTAATTGGACCATTGCTCAAATATAATCGACAATATTAAATACGTCTATTTGAAATGAGGTTATATTCCCAATTCTACAACACTTTTTACATTTTTTCTCTAAAATTTTCACACATTTTCGAGACCTACAATTTAGTAGTTATTGATGGGGAAGCTCGTAATTGGACCACATAATAATTATAATCGAGAATATTAAATACGTTTTACAAGATTCGTAATTTTCTTCTACCTTTTAGAATGAGGCAACCTATATTTTTGTGATTAAACATCTACCATGGAATCCATGAGTCAATTATTACATTTATCTTTTAGCAATAGATTGGATGCAACGCAAGTTTTTATCTGACCTTTATAGATTGCGAGAACGTCTATTGCTATGATGAAGCAAACTTTAAGCCCTATTTACACCCATGGTAGAAGAAGATGCATCAACGCTTGGGCACATTTATATGTCAAACAATATTAAATGTTTTTTTTTTTTTTTCAAATATAAGTAGATTTTTATATGATTTCTTTTACGACGTCATTCAGAGGTTCTTATAATTCGCGTTTTTCAAAAATTTTTACAAATTTAAATAATTTTTCATTCAACATTTTCAATTTCAAATTTGGTTTGACCCTGCAGCTGTGTCGATGCGTCTACCTATATTCTTCTACCATGTTTACACCTAAAGGTGAGAGTACATAAAGGGCTTTGTTGACTGGCTTCTTCGTAGAGGATTAAAAGGAGTTTTAGGTTGACTTAGTTCGATTATGGCCCTACGCTCCTTTGTTCTTTTCCGAAAAAGTCAGCCGATGACTTAAGCCGTTCAAAAAAGCATTTTATGATTTCTCACTTTTGCATGTTTTAAATTCTTTAAATATACAACAAAACCTTCACGAAACTTACAACTTAGGGTGGAAATACATAAAGCGCTTATCTGGCTGGCTTAAGTCATCGGCTGGCTTCTTCGGAAATGAACAAAGGAGCCTAGGGCCAAAATCGAACTATGTCAACCTAAAACTACTTTGTTCATCTATGAAGAAGCAAGCCGATGACTTAAGCCAGCCAAATATGCAGCCTTAGTTTTAATCTATAACGTATTTTCAATGCTCTATCACCTTTAAGCTTGGCATCATGGCTAGGCATATTAATGTTAAATTATAAGGAAAAACGATGGCAGGATTCAAGTGCGGCTCTGGCATCTCATTATGTCACAAAATATGCCATGCGAAGACTTCAAGCTGCTCATGTATCCACATCTTTACTCTTTTAAACATTTGACTAATTTTATGAACTCTACGTCATTCGACATCTCGATGTTTAACTGATTATGGCCTTAAATATTTAATCGAATAGTTTTCATTCTGTTTTAGTATTATAACGTCATCCCTGGATCAAAGCAAGAATATTTAGCTGAATATCAATTTCTGACTAACTAAAATGATACAAATTTTGTTGAAATTTTCAAAAACTTAAAAAAACCTAAATTTTCTTAAAATTTTTAAAAAAATGTTTGAAAATGTAAGATTTTTTGAAAACATAAAAAAAATGTTTTTTGAGAAGATTTTTGAAATTTTATTAAAATTAAGAAAGATTTTATTAATTAACTCTTGAACAATTGTTTAGAGGGTCACGGAAAATGTCTGTTTTACTTTTATTTTTATAATCCGTATATTTTTGTAATCCATCTAAATTGATATGTGGCCATACAGCTTTACCGTTTGTGCAACTATGAGTTCCTTGTAGGCAACGAAACTAAAACTACACACTCTACCTTTCAACAAATGATAACTAATATTATTGTTTAAATTTTATGCACACTTTAGTTTAAATATCCTATTTAAAGAACATTGACATTTCATATTTCTCTTTACTTTAAAGCTCAATTCATTTCTCATTTGATTTATAACACAGGATCGTTTTTTATGTTTGTTTTAATTTCTTTTTAACAAATGTTTAATATTCAGCACACATTTAGATCTCAATGCATGTTTGTTTCTTTAAGGCACTGAACTGTTTTTTTTTTGTTCAAAAGTCCTTTTTGCACAAAGTTTTTTGTTTTTTTTTTTCTTTTCAATTCGAATTAATACACACACACTGGTTCACATAATCATCAATCATTTTCAAATTACCTTTAAAAATAAATACTGTTTTTTTTTTTGGTTTAAGTTCAATAAATAATTGCCTGTTGTTCCTTTTTTTTATTTCGGGACAGTGAAATAACGATTTTTCCGTTCAAATTAGAGGAGCCCACCAAAAGCCAGTCAACCGTTCTTAGTGATTGACCAACATTAACTGATCATACCAAAAATTGAATTAAGCGCCTTTGACTGAAATTGGTATCGACGATTGTTTTTTATTTTTTGTCGCGATTTTTTTTATTGTTGTGTATTTTCTTTCGATTTATTGAAACAACAGCAGTAGTAAGAGCAATAACAACAACTACAACAATACACTACTAAGTATTGAGTACTACATAGAAGTACGGACAAAACGTCAATGTGGCGGCCGGGCCGATAATCACGGTAAGTGAAGTACCAGGCTATGTTGATAGGTGTGTTTGTGTGTGCATGTGTGTGTTGGCGTTGATCATCAGGTAGATAGGTAGAATATGTACATATGTTTGTATGTGATTCTTCTCATATTGCAAATACTTCAAATGGTTTGTTTTTCTTTAAAAAAAAAATGAGTAAATATGCACTTATATTTGTGCCTACATACACATGTAACAGCGGTATTCGTGTATGTGTGGGGGTGCAATTAGCCATATATTTGATGATAAAAACCGTTTTTTTGTAATCAATTATTATGGGGTTTAATTAAATTGTTAATTTCCAGCTAGTCGGTCAACAACAAATTCTGTCAATTTCAAGTGTAGCTGGACGACAATTTGACACATTTTTATGTGTATATATTCATTGTGATATATATTAAGCAATGAAAGTGAAAGAAATTGTTAAAATTTCCTTTCTATTTCGAAAAATATAAGGGAGGTGATAAGAGAATTTGTAAGAATGGTGGTTTTACAGAAGTGGAGGATCAACAATCTAAAGAAGGCATTAAATGATAGAGTGTGTCTCTTTTGGAGGGTCGCCTCTGTATAGATAGAGAGAATTGAAAGACATTGTGGTTAGTAACTAGGGGAGATATGACGTTTGGACTTACTCCCCTTTTTATTTGTGACTCGCTAAGGGCGAATTGTTCACATAGTTACCATATAGCATTTTATGAGCGATCTATGATTTATATATACATTATATTTAACTCTCTCACTGAGCGGCAAAGATATATATCTCATCACAACAAGTGACAGAAAGTAAAAAAAAAAAAAAACAAAAGAAAAAAAAAACAAACAAATCAAAATCTTATATAAAAACGAATATTAGTAAAAGAAATATCAAAATATTTATGATCACAATTTAGGTGACAGTACATAAAAGGCTTTTTTAAACGGCTTAAGTCATCGGCTGCCTTGTTCGCAGAGTTTTAGGTTGACTTAGTTCGATTTCGGCCCTAGGCTCCTTTGTTATTTTCCGTTGACTTAAGCCAGTCAGAAAAGCGTTTTATGTATTTTCACTTTTAACGCCAGAAAAGTAGCTTAACTTATTGTGCATTTACACAAGTCAGTTTAAATCAACCCGATCTCTAATTCTAACCTGTTTACACTAGTTTATAATCATATAAAATGTCAGTCAGCTGATCTTTGTTTTCGTAGACATAACCGTTTCTTTTTTTATATTATAAAAAAGAAACAATATATGATCACTCGGAGTCTGCGAATGTCTGACAGAATTTTGAAAATTGTCAGGAAATATCGCAGAGACGTCATTCCAGCAGCTATGTTTGCATTTACATGGGATATTTTTCTGGCTCCTCAAATCTTATTCATATTCTTTTCCCTTATTATTTTCAAGTGAAGCTCTGTTCCAGATCCTGCAGGAATCTACTATTTTTGCGATTTTTCTCGATATCACAAAGGGAAAATTGGTTATCGTAGCAAAAAGTTTTACAATCTTACAGTTCTGGCACAGGCCAAGAATCACTTCTCCAGCTGGTGATTAGCATTAAAAAAGAACGAAAATTAAAATATAATTTTAAACATAATATTATGTACAATTAGTGGTGTAATAAGGATGTAAGTACATAAGAAGTTTGAAGTTATGTCTAGGCAAAATTTGTGACATTTCATAAAGGGATTACAGAGTCGCACTAAAATCCTGCCGTCGTTTTCCATTATAACTTGACATTCATATGCCAAGCCATGATTTCAATCTTTTTATGTACTTGCACCTTTATCGACACAGCTGATGGAACAATAAGCTGTCAAACCAAATTTGAAATTGATAATTTTAAATGAAAAATTATTCAAATTTGTAATAATTGTTGAAACATACATATCATAAAAACCTCCGATTGGTGTCGTATAGAAACTTATGAAAATCTACTTAGTTTTGAAAACACTTTAAAAGAATGTTGACAGATCAATGTTCCCAAGCGTTGATGCATCTACCTGTATTCTTCTACCATGGTTTTATGTGTTTCTGTTTACAACTGTTTTAACAGTTGTAGCAACACAGTTGCTAATTTTGGCACTACAATATTTCAATTTTAAGGAGAAAAAATCTATGTTGCATTCCAAAATATTTAAATTTAACATTGAATTTAAAATAAATCCAAGTTTTAAGTTTATTATATTTTGTATGACAAATCATTGTAATCATAGTAAAAGGGTACAGTTTAAACAGGCTTTTAGAAATGAATACAAAAGATGCAACTCTGTGGTATAGACGTAATGTGTCAAATAAACTTTTAAACCATGCAACAAGTGGTTTATTATTTTGCAAGTTTTTTTTTTTTTTTCAATAATTTCCTAAATTCAGGAAAACTCACTCTTTCGCTACGTTTACATTGAAGATTTTGATCATTTTTCGTAATTGATCAATTAACAGGCATAAGGCTTGAATGTTCATTTGGCCTTAAATTAATTGGACTTCAAATGTCGTTTCCATTGCGTTTACATCAAATCTGAAATTCGGCTGATTTTATTTGACTTTTTAGGCAATGAAATTGATAGTAAAAACCCAGGGGTCAACTTTTATGTAATTTATTCTTAATTTGTATATCTTATACGCTGTTTAGATAAAACCATTTCCCAATTTTATATTCAAATTATTTTATATAACAGACGGAGTTCCTGCAAGCAATCAGCAGATTTATCAAGATAAAAAAATTGCTTGCCCAAATATAAATCACCGAAAGGAGAAAAAACAGAGTTGCAATCTAAAAAAACTCAAATATTTAATATTTTCTGGGAGAAGCCATTTTATTAACATATCAAAATTATCGTTTATAACTAAAACGATTGCTGTAAAATTAAGATTAGAAATAAACATTAACACCATGTTTGTTTCTATTTTATCTGGTACATTATTAGTTCCTCATTTTATGCAAGTCGATATCATGGTAGAATTAAGAAGGTAAAGTGATGAATCATATGTTTACATTTTTTTTCAAAATTATTCATTTGACAACAGCTCATTGTCAAAATATATATTTATAAATCCATTGTACATACACAAATTAAAGTTGGGAACCTGTCTTCTATACAATGAAAGATAAAGGTCAATTAAAAAAATTGCACAGATGGGTATGTTTATTTGTAGAAGAATAAAGGTAGTCGCATCGACACAGCTGCTAGGACAATGAACTGTCAAACCAGCTTTTTAATTGAAGATTTTCAATGAAAAAATGTAAACATATGGTTGCTTCATTTTACCTTTTTAATTCTACCATAATATCGACTTACATGAAGTAAGAAACCAATAACGTACCAGATAAAATAAATAAAAATAAAAATTTCTAAAAATTGTTGAAAAATGCATGCCATATAAAAATCTTCTTAAGTTCGGAAAAACATTTTTAAATATGTTGATATGTCAGTGTTCCCAAGCGTTGATGCATCTACCTGCATTCTTCTACCATATTTCTTACGTTATGCAAGTCGATATCATGGTAGAATTAAGAAGGTAAAGTCATGTAATCATATGTTTACATTTTTTTTCAAAATTATTTATTTGACAACAGCTATATATATATTTATAAATCCGCTGTGCATACACAAATCAGAGATGGTAACCTGTGTGTTATGCAGTGAAATTTGACTAGGCAAATTATTTGAAATGACTTTACCTTCTTAATTTTACCACGGTCGATAAATTATGAGGAACAATTTTTCAAACTTTTAAAGAAACACAACAAAAATATTTTTTTTTATGATTTTATGAGGCAATTTGTTGACAATTTATAATCTGATATTATGAACTATATATATATTAAAATCAGCTGATGTTATCATTCATGTTAATTAGTGTGTACCACACTAGATGTTAAGGCCATCTTTGAGATAACCTAATACATTGTTGCCACGGTGTTGCACTCAAAGAAAAGTTTTATTAAAATTTCTTGTTTATTGACAGCTGAGGTAGATTTAAAGACATTTTCTTGCTATATTTAATTTCGCTAATACAAAACCAAAAAAAGTTTATAAAACCAAGCACAGAAATGTTTATTGGGATTATTACGCTGATCTACAGAAGTTGGATAAATTTGTTTATTTACGATAAAGTGTTATCAAATAATTTTCGTCCAATATCATGTTGTATAGCTTAGTTCGATGTACTAAAACAATTTCCCACATATGTAGGCATTTATCACCTCTGTTTATATGATGTTTTCATGTTAAATTTCAAACATTCTGTTTTTTTTGCTTCTTCTTTCAGATAAGATAAATAGAAAGGCACCTGATTGTTTTCATTATTCAGTGATTTTGAAATTGTGCAACATAATGTTGAAGTAATTGAAACAAGAGGCTTATCTGGGGTTTGTGTGTGTGTTTTGCTGGCTACTCCAAGAATTTGATGATAACAAACTAATGGTGTAAACGTAATATGGTTTATTCCGTTGTATAATTGCAGGCAATATAATGTTTATCGGATATTTGTAGGTGGTAGATAGAATGAGACGTAATAGAATAGCAGTTTACGCTATGTCCCCCTTTCGGTACTTTACAATAATTAAAACAAAACATTTTCCATGGTATCCTTATCATAAGATATATCCATGAATTTCAGCAACAAACTTTACAATTTTTTAATAACAACATTATTGTTATAGAAAATGAATTGTCAAGGGAATAAATTTAAGAAGAGAGTCCTTTCAAAGAAATGATTCTATGTTAAGGTAGGTTTTAGAATATCTTAAAAAATATATTTTGGATTTTTTCAGAATAGTCAAACTATCAATTCGT